TCCGCCGTTTTGGAAGGAGGTGGGAGAAGCCCCACGCAGCCACCAGCAACAGGCTATCTGGGGAAACCCAGCCACTGGCCTGGAAGCAGCAGCAGAGGAGAGGGGGTGAGGCGTCCAGGGAGCGTGCATCCAGAAGCCGGGGGGTGAGGGGCGGCACTGCGGGACCAACCCAGCAGCACCCCAGCTGCTCTGCTCTGCTGCTTCCCCAAGACCACCGCCACTGCTTGCAGGCCAACAGCTGAACGGGGCATCCCCCGCCTCCCTGCAAAATGGCAGAGGGTTCACCTCTCGCCGTGCCATTCCTTTCCCCCCTCCCCTCCGGCCAGACACAGTGCAGGTCCCGGCAGACCTGTCACAGGGGTATAATCCCCTTTCCCTCTCCTCCCCTTCCCTTTCCCAGCCCGTGAGCGCGCATGGGGCTCACAGCAACTCCAGTTTTCTGGCTGGTCAGAACACTTCCTGGTTCCAGTTGGTTCCAGACTATCGGGAGTGCTGCATCACTGGATACCTGACAATTGGAGTTTTCCTGTACTTAGTAGTGATCTTTGTGGAATGTGCACCTTCAAAAGAAAGTCCCACACGATTTCCAAAGGGATTTCACAGTGAGCTTGAAGGAGAGTTTGGCAGGACTTTTGGAATTTACTTTATAAATAGATGGCAAATTCATGATTTTCAAAGAATAGCCACAAATTATCTTGCAAAACTGCTGAGTTCTGTCGACGTTATGTCCACTTTTGTCGACAAAACTCTGTAGTCTCGACACACCCGAAGTCAGTTTCAACTCACAACAGCTTATGCCATAATAAAATTGTTGGTCTTTAAGATGCCATGGGTTCCTTGTTGTTGGGTTTTTTTTAATTAGTAACAGTTACAATGCAAAATGTGGTGGAATTATCTGTTTCTATGAAAAACCTGTTTCTTTGAAAAACCTTCCTTTCCCCATTGCCTTACAAAATTTCCATTGACTTTAATGATGCATAATCAGGTCCACAGTTACCATCAGAGACCACTATGTACATTGTACATATTAATAAGTTAACTGACAGTAGAATGACATTTTGTTCCGCTAGGGTGGTAACGGGTAATATATACCTTTTATCTACATTATAGCACCCTGATATCAGTGTATGGTATATTTAATATGCGAGTTAAAAAGTGGGAGCTTTCATCTTCATAATCTGCAAATAACATAAAATAACCTACCAGCGTTCTTCTTGTTTAAAGATAACATCTCCAGGTTCCAGGTATGTTCCTCTGTGGTAGCATGAACACTGGGAGATATGCACACATTTACCCTTCTCATCCATATAGGTGTTACCAGGGCAGCCACAGCCATCCACTGGAATGAAGCCCTTCACGCACTGATTTTGGCCATCAGCAAGGGAGCGACAGGTATGTTGACATGTCGTCAAATTGTAAAGGAAGACTTGGGAGGATGGGCAAGAGGACACTTCTTTGTCTGGAGAGAAGGAAACAATGGTCGCTATACTGGCACATAAAAACCACCTGACCAGGCATTATAGAATGTAAAGCTTTCTGATCACTCTGTCCAGATAGTATGGAATAGTAAAAATGAAGGGATTCCCTCTCATTGTATTCTAACATAAACTATTATAATTAATAAACAGTGTTGGCTTAACTTTGTACTACCTTTTAAACTGCCATCTATGAGGTAATATTATTCCCATTCGTATAGGTATAATTTCCCTTTAAAGAACATGCATCATTTCTATTATTATACAGAAGAGTATATAGAGGAAGGAATGGTAAGACCCTCAAAATAAATATCTAGTATTGTTTCTTTTTTTTCTTTCCCCTTTAGTTAACTGAATCTTTCACTGTTGGAATTCGCTTTCTAATAATAGACACTATTATTACTACATTTTTTTCTCTGTTGCTTCTTAGCCCTATAGTCCTCCAGCAGAAGCACAATTTAACAATTTGACAAAGCCCCATTTCTAGTGTTACTTCACTGCTGGTGATGATCCCATACCTAATGCTGGTACACGGCCATAAAAATAAATACAATGGATGAGCCATGATGGTTTTGATTACTTTGGGGAAAGAGAAGATATATCAGCATTGGTAAAATAGTAGAGATGAGAAAAGGGAGCATAATTATGTTGCAGTTTGTGAAGTTGTCCTATAAACAACGGGCAGTTAAAGAACACAGGATTCACTATTCAAAATCCTTGACAGTGTCTCCTTAAATTGTATTGTGCAACTCCATGTCCCTTTCTCTTAACACCGAGGTTAATGGAACTGTACTGAGGTGCACTCTGTCCTTTCCTTTGACTGATTTCAAGGGGATGACAGCGTCATTACTTACTGCAGACATTTTGTCTCCAACCTCCCAGCATGATCCCTTTGAAGGCACAGGCCCTTACGTAAGAGGAGAGGGCCGCACACAAGCATTCCTCACTGTTCGAGCAGCTGCAGGTGTCGTATTTACACCTCTGAGACAAACAAGAAGCAAATGGTTAATAAGCCTGCAGAGATCAGAGAGCATACTAGCTGAGCAGAGAGCTGTCCATTAGTGATGGACAAACCCCAAACAAGCTCAGAAGGCATTTGATTAAGCATGAAAACATAGATAGTTCACCAAACTTTATCTGAATAGCCCAACCTTTAAATCACTAAAGTTTAGCCCTCTTTTCCTAACAGCAGGCTTTTTGGGGACTTTGAAATGTATAATTCCTCATCTGTCACAACACAGAATGGTATAAGCCCACAGAAATTAAAAATAACAAAAGGAAGAAATATCTGCATGGGTGAGGATCTCCACAAAGGTTCAGCTCACACTGAATTATGGACATGAGCAAAGATTAGGGGGCACTTCCTTTCTCTCCAGATTGCTTGTTTATCCCTCCTCTACAGAACTGAAAACACAAAAGAACTGAAAACACAGGCAGTGCCAGATCTGCACACAAGCTAAATAAGGTACATTTTAGGAGTTCAGATTATGAAGGAACTATAAAAAAAAAACCCTTTTTTTTTTGTAATGGTATGGGGCCTCTTACAGTTGGCATAGTTTAAGGCCTCAGCATGTCTTAACTCAGCACTGAACACTGGTATACTGACCAGGAATAATAAGACACATAAATGGGTTGTTGTTTGCCTCCTGATCAAGTAAATTCAATTTAGTGCTTATTAAGCCACAAAGTAGATGATTAAGCAAGAATGTTTACGAGCTGGTTCACATTTGACCATCATGATTCAATATCCCATTATCTTTTGAATTCTCATATGAAAATGAGAATCTATAGTGTTCTTTCACTACTCACTAGCCCCACCCTCTCAGAAAAGCACAATGATTCTCTCCTCTAAATCAGCATTCTAAGAGAAGGCCTATTGTAGGAGATCAAGGCATATGAACCAATTGAACAGGTAGTCATAACAAAATATGAACCATTTTTATGACCAAGTTACAATAATCCCTTGAAAATATGTATATGGTAAAACACATATTAGACTAGCGCCAAAAGCTGACTGTATAGTACAAAATTCACACCTTGTAATATTCCGCGGGATCGATGACTGTGTGACATCTGGCAAAAAGAGATTCTGAATTTTTTAGTTGAGAACACCAAAACTCAGCATAGTTTTCTGTAACAAAAGAAAAAATAATTATTTTCCTAGATTCATACCTTGTGGTATCAGAGTTTCACCTTTCAGCATGCAACATAATATAACCTAAGCAACAAAAAACAATGAAATGATGAACAACAAAAACTCTACATTTTGGGGTTGTGGACAGATCACACAGAATCACTATAAATTTGGCCCTCAGTATCTGATTCAAATACCTCTTGGTCAAACACACATATCCTATCAATCTTCCTCTGGCCTCCGACTGTTTGAGAATTCACAATCACAGGATCACAACTCCAACCAAACATAAAAAGAAACAATAATTCTAAAGAAGGTGGACCTCTAGTCCAGAGATATATTGCAATTTTCAGTATTAATTACCTTTCTTCAGTGTTTTTCAACATAGGGTTGCCACTACAATTTCTCTCTTAATTTTTGGTCTGTTTTATAGTCAGAGATTCAAAGGTCAGAAGGAGCCACTGTGATGATCTAGTTTCCTGTATAGCACAGGCCATAGAGCGTACACAGAATAATTCATAGGGCAGATCTTTTAGAAAAGCATCCAATATTGTTTTTAAAGTTGTTAGCGATGAGCCTTGGTCAAATGTTCCAGTGGTTCATTACTCTAGTTCCAGTGTGAATTTACTTATCTTCACCTTCTTAAAACCTGATGCCTGTGCAGGGAATTTAATCTTGGACCATCAAATGAAAAGTCTGCTTCTTTACCAAGTAAGTTCTCCAGGTTCCCATAAATGAATAACAGCACTGTGAAATACCTCCTTTATTTTATCACCATCTGAACCAGACAGAGGCTCCCACAGCCTAGCTAGGTGCCTGAAGGACAGGACAGTCAGAGACTCCAAGGAGAAACACCTGTTGCCTAGTGTGGGCAATCCCACAGTACTTCTGACATGCACACATTAATTAACTTGTCAACCTTCTAAACAAAGGTTATCATCACTTCGAGACTGCTATTTTACTGTATATAAGATACAGATCCTGAAGGAAAGAGGCCCTATGAAAATTTTGTATTCTTACCGTTTTCAACGCTGAGAGCACAAGGGTCTTCCAACCTATCCACTTGGTCTCTACAGGTGGATTGTGCTTTCCAAGTGTTAGCAAAGGCAGATCCTGTTGCTTCTACCAGCCCTCCAGGTGTCTTAAAATCATCCCCTGCCATGCCATTGAAATTCCCACAGAGACCTATTGAGAAAAAATTCAGTTTTAAAAATTATTATTCATTCTTCTTCTGAAAGAGCAATAAAAAGGGAAATGATTGATTTCCTACACAACATGCATTGACAACTTCTGGCAGAGAGCTACTCCACCCGGTATTAAAACTGCAATCATGCATGTAAGCATTTGGGGGTCTCCCTCTAAAAATCCAATTCTGGGGCAGATGGTCTTCAGTTGGGGTTCAGAGTTTCAGAAGATTCTCCCAATTATTGTATTTGTGATCTTGTATGAACTAGTTTCCCTAGCCTGGCTAGGATAGTAATTTAACATTAGATTGAACAATGTAGTGGGAAATATATATTCCAAAGATTAATCCTGTATTAACATGGGTATGATGGGTTTATTTAATCTATAATATCAAATAATTCATCTGTAAAATATGTGAACTGTTAAATTATTCTCTCATGAAATGTTGGGTGGGTTCTGCTCTTATTCTTCCTATATTCAACTAGCTAAGCTTTTCTATCTCTAGAGCTAATGGCTTTATAGAGAGTCATATATATGAAAAAGCATTCATTAGTTAAATCTACATTAGTATTTTACCAGCATACCGTTCCCTTAGTACCTTCATTATGATGGAAGAATCAATTGGTGAGTAATTTCTTGCTATAAGAGCACACAGCACTTCAGTTGTAATTATTTTGGGTTGTGTCATTTCTCCTTTAGAACCAGACATAATTGGACACTTACCTTGCAGTTGTCCTTGGACATTTTGGTCCACAATCACAAACAGCTGCATGATTGGAACCAGCTGGATTTGTAGCTTGAGACCAAAGTGGGTCTGCACAATGATGTGGTAGGAAGATGGCTGGAAAACTGAGAAGCTTGCTGGGAAAAAAAATAAAAGAAAGTCATGTTTCCTTGATTTTTAATTTGTTTTTTTTTATAACCTTTCTGTTATAGACCAGAAATGCCACAGACAGAAAAATTGTAGTGTTGAAAGCAACACATTATAGGAGCGGCCCGAGTCACCATCTGTCCTAAAAATTGCAATAGGCAATGGACCAAAAATCAGATGCTGACAGATCCAGTTCTATGAAAACACGGACTATTCACAGACTGTTTTATAAATGTTACATGTATTATTATGTGCTAGTTAATGATTCTATTCCTGGCTAAGTGGTTAAGCTAAAGGATGCTTCCCGCAGGAACTAAAGGCATTTGGATGGTAATTACTGCAAATCCCCAACACTGAACAATGCAGGTAACAAGTCTTGTAAAGTTTCCCCCTCTTTGGTGAATAGCATCTGCTGATTTGATCTAGTTCAAAAGGACATGAAACCTGTACAAAGTGGCAGTGTGGGCCTGGGAGAGATGCTCTTACATCTGATCCAAGAACTCTCATGAGTATGTGACCAGAGACAGGCTTTCTGAGAGGACCCAAAGTACTTTTAAAGTGACCAGAGATTCCATGGGGAGGACAGGGGACTGTCTGGTAAGCCAGACACACGTTTAAACTGTTCGGAGTTTTAAAAAGTTTTTTTTCAGAATTGCATTAGTTTTGAATAAATAGGTCTTGGCTTTACAAGGGCTGGCTGATCACTGCTGACCCTAGCATTACTGCTACTCAGAGAACAGCAGATGCTGGACTGAAGTCAGATCTGCAAAGGTGTCCGCAGTCTAAGGGTGTGTCTATACTGCACACTTATCTCGAAATAAGCTACACAATTTGCTCTATGCAATTTGTGCAGCTTATTTCCAGGTTATTTCGAAATAAAGCACTATTCCAAAAAGTCCCTTAAGCCTTGTGGAACAAGATTTATAGGGACATTGGAATAGCAAGCCTGCTATATTTCGAAATAATGGGCTCAAAAGACATGGAATAGCTATTTCAGGATACTTCCGGTATCCCGACACAGCTCCACAGTGTAGACGTAGCCTAAGTGCTCTTCTAAAGGGATATAGGGGATCCCACCCAAGGAAAGGTGAAGACTAGACCCCTGAGACATAAGTGGGAGATCTTCCCAGAGAGCAAGAAGGCATAAGACGTGCAGATAAGTCAGGAACTGTGATACAGAACTCTCTTATTTTGCAGTGAAGAATGTTGACCACTTAACTATGGTGCCCGTCCATGCTATATCAACAATCCAGCTATTTAGGATGGTGGTGTGGCATCAGGAATCAAAAGGTCTTTTCAGCTCTGCTGAACGACAGCTCACAGTGCTGAAGTATTAATAAGTTCAAGGGGCATCAAAGATTTCCGAAAAAATTATTACCTCTGCCTATGAGCGTATGACAATTAGTCATCCTTTCCAAGTGTCCTGCTTAATGACCATATGTTTCTACTTCTATTTGAAGAGCTCCCTGGTCTTCTGACTTCCTCCATGGGTTGGACTATTTACTTAAGAGCTTGGTGCCTCATTGTACCCACACTGAATGCTGGGTACAAGGAAAGGGACAGCTGGTGCAGTTGGTCCAGTGTTGGTGACTCATGAGTTCCTCCCACTGGAATGCCCTGGGTATTCTCTTTTTTAAGACCAGTTCAATCTAACACAAAATATCTGGAGCAACTAAACATAAGATCCTGGCTATCCCTTAAAATAGAGAGAGGCATTGCCATTCCAGCATAGACCAATGGTCCATCTATTTCAGTACCCTTTTATCTGAGAGTGACTAGTGTGGGATAGCTCAGGGAAAGATGCTAACTCCCCATTGTGTCCCATATTGCACTGCAAGAAACATTTCTACCCATGTTTTCCTTTAAGTGCCTTTCCCCAGAATGGCCAGTATGTCCTATTGTATTGAAGGGAAGCACTACTCAAATGTAAGTCTTAAAAAGAAGTAGCTCATGGAAAAAATCCCCCAAATGAACTTCCTATTAAACATTCCTTGCTTCTAATATAGAAATGCAGAACTTAATTGGTGCTGGAGTTGAAGTCATAACCAAAGAACAAAAAAGCAGAGGTGTTTTTGAAGCTGCTCATCTATTTTAAGCAGAGGATTCTCCAGTCACCTGTATTCCCCAGAACAGGGAATCTCAACCGGAGCTACAACAAGGTGTCTGAGGTTCTAACCACCCTGCTCTTCCCAAACTGCTAAATGAAAGAGTGGCCCCGCTATGGAAGAGTGTCACAGAATGAAAATGTTCGAGAACCTGACTGTGGCTGTCACTCATGGGGCCTACATCTGTTTATCTTCAAGAACTGAAATGGGTGAAGGCTAAACCAGCTCTCGGTATGTATGTCAGCTGTTTATAAAACACTCAGAACAGCTGGGAAATGTTATATATGGGCAATCTAACATTATCAAGAATGAATGGAAAAGCAACAGAACAGTCCTACAAAATAAATAAACTGGAGAAGCCAGGCCCAGTGGTGCTTCTGTATATTCCCTGGGAGGAGTCTTGTGCTAAGGTGAGGTTATTTAATATGTAACCTGTAGATTATATTACGCATTTCACATATTACTTTAATCTGGATCTTTCTCTTTCCATATCTGTCTGTCTGTCTTCTCTCCCTTTTCGAGGTTCCTTCCAGTTCTAATATCCTGATTCTATGATTCTTTCTACACAACTAAAAAATTATTAGGAGGAGTGGCAGGGACGGAGAAGTGCTGATTGTGGAGCTGGTGATTCTGTGGCTTGATGATCCACAAGCATTTCCAAATTTCTGGGGAGGTTACTTCAAGATCCTCTGTTCTGCTCTGTTTGCAATGCTCCCACAACAACCCTCAGAGAGGCTGCCTCACCATAAAACGTCATTCTATTGGAGCGGGCTAGTGGTGACTTCCTCTAGGCACCATAAGCACTGCATCAAAGGGTGCGGTGTAACCCAAATATAAAGTAACTACCTCATTAGTGTTCAAATTATCTCAAATGTAAGCTGATGCCTCCATTAAGCTTTCTTCCTTGTCAGCTCCCTCACGGACACACCAAAGGTCAGTCCTTGAGCAGGGATGCTGGGACAATTTTTATAGTGGAAGTGCTGAGTGCCCCTGAACCAAACTGTAAATCCTGTATATAAGGGAACCACTTCAAGTCAGGGGGTGAAGCAGCACCTTCTGCTCCCTAGTTCTAGCACCTGTGTCCTTAAGATGACCAGCCTTGAAGAGAGTATGTCAAGGGAAAAAAAGGAACCAAGAAGAAAAAAAATCCTCTTGTTGGCATTTAAGTGGTGGCTATAAATCAGAAAACATTTTCTCTCTCCTCACCAGAGTAAACAGGACGAAATTCCCCCTATGACTTAAATACGACATTCTTAGTTCCATGCAGAATGTATGCTGGCACTGACATTCATTTCTATCTATTCATGTGAGGCAAGCATAAACTATCTGCCCAACATCATACAGGAAACCTGTGCTAAGCTGAGAACTGAAACGAGACCTCCTGGGGTTCATTCCTGGCCTTCTATCCTTCCTGATTAACTTCTGTTCACAGAGGCAGCAACTGGCGATTAGATCACAAATGCCTCCCTGTATTTTCACAAATCTCCTTCCTCTCAAGCTCTTTTCACTGCATCCGGGTTCATTCTAGCACAAACATTCAGGAAATGCCTCTGTGCCTTCCATTCTTTAAAGGCTCCGAGAGCTTTTATTTTAACATCAGATGCGCTTTGGAGAGATGGCCGCATTCCTCACCTGTCACATGGGGCAAGTGCACGACCATGTCATTCAGCAGCACCGTGCCATCTGATCGGATCGTCAAGCTCTGTGTGTAAGCCAAGAGAAAAGGTTTAAATTACTTTGACTTCCTGGCTGCGGAGGGAAACCCAGCGCAAAAACGAACCTTAAAACAGGAGAGACAAGCGGAGCTCACATGACTGAGCAGATTAACTCAATATTTCAGTCACAGTATTTAAAAGGAGCAATCTAATTAGCAAATGAAGATTCTCTCTGTCCTCGCACCCAGTACGTGTATAAAGGTTTGGGGTTGTTAGACAATTTTTAACATGTACTAACACAGCGTCTAAAGAACAGAAAATGTTTCAAGAAAGTCACATATACAGGATACCAACTGTGTTAAGTGACTGAAAGCATTTGGCACTTGACACCAGATGGGTATGGAGATTAAACATAAGCACACACTTTGTCATGTGTTATTTTTTTACATAATTGTGCAGCATTGATAGAATGATAAGGAAATTCTTTCAGTAAATTCTTAATGCAAAGTTTGGTATATACTTTTGGGAACATAACTAGTTTCACAAAGTGCTAAGAGCCAAGAACACTAGAAATGTATGGAGGGAAAGAACAAGAAAAAACCCAGGGAGGTCTAAATAGTAGGGCAATAAATTGGAAAAACAGAACAGAAAAACTAGATTAGCCAGGACGGCAGACTGAATCAGAGTGAAAACTCCCCTCCCTCGCCCACTATTGAAATTCAAACAAGTGAGAAGCTTGGCTTGATCAATATTCAAGAGTTCGCATCCGAACCAAAACCTCTTGGGTCTGCAAAATTGGGATTTAATCTCAATAAACTAAAACAGCAAGGCCTTCATATTTCCAGTCAGGTTGTAAATACCAGGAGAACAGATTGACAGTGCTTCTGACATTAGGCAAAACTAGAAAGAGCAAAAAGAAAGACAGAAGGAAGAAACAGTGAAGCAAAATCTTTTAACTGAACTAGTGCAGACTGTGCAGGGCAGGCCTGATTTGAGATTTGGACTGATTTGGACTGGTTTTTATTTTTCCTGTGTTCAGCCATCCTTACCCAGGATCCCCAGAGAAAGACTATGAAAAGTCAGTAGGGAA